AAAGAATACTAGGCAGTAAATGAAAAATAACGACATTGTGATCAAAAAATATTTTCAGCTTGTAGGAGACAGCCTTAACGTTCAAAGCCTTTCTTCATAAAACCTTAAAAAGCTCACGTACGGGCGTTTCAACGAACAAATGCTTATATTACACCGCGACCTGACTGCAATTTTGCGCTATTCACTTTTGTTAAGCTTCCGTTTTTGTTTAGAAAAAGAAAAACAACGACCATAATTTTGTTCAACGAGAAGCCTAATTATTATGAAACTACCCCGCTGTAGAAAAACATCTTCGAAGAATAAGGTATAGAATGGCAACCAATTTTGCTTTTAGAAATATTTATTACGACATATATGGCTTTGGGCGAGTGTGGCGCAGTGGTCGGAGGCGCCCTACAACACACACGTGGAATCGGTCCGCGAGCCCATGGTCCACCAAGCCCTCCATCCCTCTGGGGTCGGCAAATTGGTACCAGACTTGTCTAGGAGAATAGCATCACTGGCTGGATACATCGGTAGACCACCACGAATCATTGTAGAGGCCAGACATCCATCCAATCACTTCCAAACGATCCTTAGTGAAGTCGAATGTATGGCGCATCCCTCGGAGATTGATCAACGCCGAAAGCTTTATCCTTTCTGGCTTTATATACGGCTTTCCACGAACAGGTTAAAGTTAGCGTCTGATTTATAAACTACTGTGGAAGGAATTACAATAGTCATTGTAATCAATAGCCTGAGAAAACTTCAAAAAAATCTTTGAGGAAGTTATTCTTCGTTTGATCATCGCTATTTCAAAAACCGTGATTTAACTTCGACATGCCTTAAAGGTAGCTTTTGAATGATTAATTGAAAACGACACTGTTATAAAAAAATTTTATGCCATTAGTGACTTGACACCTTCGCCTTCTTTGGAGTAGTAGTGGTCTTAATTGATGATTCATAGCGCGTTGTTGTCACAATGTAGATGCTCATTTTCGCATCAAGTCGAAGCATTTAGAGTTTAGCACCGCTCCAATGAAGACTTCACTCGGAGAGACCTTTCTATACAGAGCTGATATTGCTCTATTGCCAAACTACATGATCTGTTGTCTCGTATCCATCACCCACGAACCGTGTACTACAGGCTGTATGCCGAACCACATAAAGCATGTGTAAAACCTACCTCAGTTGCTCAAATATATAGCACAGACCGCATCTCCAGTACCAGTAAAGAGTTGCTCGATAAGAGAAGGAGGCTGAAGCTTGATACTACCACAACAAACCTAACACGGCCACATAATAAGTTTTAGTGGTCGAAGATTTTGCAGGAGGATTTACATCAGTGTACGCAGAAAAAGCTATTGGAAGCAGCCTGAAAGCTGTCTGGCTTGAAGAGTGTCTTCAGGATCTGTATGACTATAATGTCTCGCTACCCAGCCTGATGAACAAAGATGAAACTGGAGGAATGCTGACATGTGAATAAAGCTTGGAACCTCAGATTAGCTTCGAACTCTTGTTTACCCTTACCGGAAACTCATGTTATCCACTGCACCAATCGAGTCTCTTGTTTCGCCTTTCTCTCAGCCATGTTTCCACTTTATAGATGCTATCAGCAATCATCTGTTAACGGAGATAATCTGAGGAGCAGAAGCTGGCAATGACTCTAGTTAATCTGAAGCTGTAGGCGAAATCACAACTTTTCAATTTCATTTCGCTAACATAAAGATGTTGACAGAGCCAAACATTAGATACTGAATGAGCCGATCATTTTCGATCTCCGGCCGCTACTGTACTGTAGATAAATAGATGAATGTTTCGCCACCTTCTCCTCTCAAGAGAAGACTGACAAATGCTTTGAATTATTGAATGAGTAGTCTGGGTATATTAAATTCATCCGGAAGGAACCAAAAGGAAAATAGTTTCCATCTCTTAACGCCCAAGCTAAGCTATGCGACCACATGATAAAGTGGTACCGAAAACCAGGTAATAAGAACATAATTGTTCGTTCCCTCCCTTCTCACTTTTCACACACAAAGAGGGCAATCGTGAGAAATATATTTCGAAGAGCGACCTTTCTGCGCACGAAGAGGAAACTAAAAGAGGAATCCGGCGACTTCGCTCGGCAAATAGCCTTCTTCAATGGCTACGAAATAGTAACCCGACGAGATAACTTTGAAAGGAGAGCCACGCCCCAAAACAAAATACTTGGCCAATAGAAAATCTTGTTTATGTTGCCCCTTATTAGCGAGAACGTAAGTGTATCTGTAAAACAATGCTTAAGAAGAGCTGTTCCAAAGGAATCGGTAGCGATATTTGAAATACCACCGGATAATTTATGTCGTCAGTTAGTTCGTAACCGTTTCTATGACCGTCTATGTGAAACAACAAATTGCGTAATTTGCCCTTTTGGCAAGGACGGTGATTGCATTAGTTCATGTACGACATACCTGTATACTTGCGGAAGTGAATATATCGGCGAAAGAGCAAACCTTTATGTATCCGTATAAAAAAACTTAGATGGGAAACGAAAATCAAGACAAAGTACGCCGCTAGGGACGCATAGGATACAAAAGCACAGCGGAGTCAATTTTGGTATAAAAGTCACTATCCTCGCACGGTTTGCCGAAACACCAACACGCAAACTCCTTGAGGTTTTTTTGAATAAATGCCAAGTACCCTAAAATGAATACCAGGAAGGAATGCCCAAAGGTCACCCGCGATCTGGCCCCGTATCTTCGCATCGATTTTTGATGTAAGGTGGAGCACAACCAACCTTATGCCACGATAATCAGCTCTTCCTTACTTCCTCAGTGGAAGGCAAACGAAGGCAAACGATGGGTTTTTCGAGAAGCTCTTGATCATTTGGTTGCCACATGGATTTTCATCTTTCTGTGTGTGCTTACGAAGCGTTTGGCGTAGTAAATTGGTTATCAACATACCATTCCAGGCTCTGAAGAAAGCGGCACTACCGATTCATCAGCTACTGTTGCATTGTATGTGTTTTATGCAGAAGTAAAAGCATACTGTACAACAGACTCGCGATTGCTGAACAACAAAGTGACGCATTTATGAGCCGATCGTATTTATCGCCGTTGTTATCGAGAACAGCACACTTTGTGGTGGTTTTGGGACTTCGTTTTTTTTTGAATACAGCTAATTTTCCTTCTCTGCAAAGAGTGAAATTTATCACGAAGGGGGTGATGGCCTTATCCCTTGTAGAATTTTGGAACTACAGTGACATTGGTTAAGCAAAAATCTTCGATTTATTGTGATGCGGTTATCTCGTTATGGTACTGTCCGTTCAGAGACTCACGTCCAGCGTTGAGAATGGGGCCTCAGGAATTCAGAACTACCACGAATGGTCTTAGTCGCCATGATAAACTCAGACCGCCGCTCACCATACTCGTTACATTCTAATCCGTGAGTCACAATGCGATGTTCTTCAGACATTCTTCTAAGTTCAATCTTGGCGTTGAAATCTCCAATGATGACCTTGAAGAATGTATGATCTTCTGTGTAGACCTTCCCCAAGTCCATGTAAAACGCTTCGACTTCTTCGTTATCATCACTTGGTGTCGGTAAACGACAAAGGTGCCAGTATTAACTCACAGCTCTTCAACTGTTAACGTCCGATTCGGGTTGTTAATTGTTCGAATGAATCGATGTTCAAGTGCAAATTCGTCTTGAAGAGAACGCCGACGCCGCGGGCTCCTCTGCTGTCGCACGTTTCCAGGAACAATTCTTCTCCGATGTATTAGAAGGCGTTTGATGGGTGCTATCTTCTTGTCCAGGCCAGTCTAATACCATAGTACCTTATCCTTCTTATCTGCATGATCTCGTCCTCTATAGGGAACCCAGGTGCAAGTAAGCTTGCACTGTAGGTATAGATCATCATTTTTGTTTTTTGCGATTTGAGCATCCTAGGATGGCCCTGGGATTTAATCGGCTTCTCCCTGCTTGTGCTACCCAATGGTGCCGTAGCGGATGCTCTTTCGGGGTTAGAGAAATGAGCCCTGTTTTTTAAATGTGTTTGGAGTTGGATACCTAGGTTTAGCTTGCTGAACTCTGAGCGCCGGCTTGGTATACGCACAGAGTCTGCCAGCTTCTCTAAGAGTAGACGGAGAGCTTATTTATTGAAGGTCATTCCTAACGCCACTCTTAACGGCCTCCTTTATACTTTCTAGTCACTTTATTGCAAGGTTTTCGTCGAATTGTGTTGTAGAGTACAATCCCCATAAACAAGAACACACTCACGCACATTTGCATGAACACGTTCACGTGAACACAGAAGGTACGTGCTAAATCGGCGAAGAAGAGACAATTTAAAGTTTTATTTACTGCCTACTCTTTTTAACGGCAGGGTATACATTGTGAAATATAACTTCAATGATGCTGAGATATTTGCAAAACTCCGGACCGCAGGTGTATGCGGTGGGGAACGAACGCGCTATTGTCCTTACCTGGGAGTAGCGCACTTCACCACCACACCATCCGGGTCCTTCAGTGAACATGGAATACAACGTGAAGGTGGAATTAGGCAGAAAGAGGAGAGTAGTACGGGTCGCTTTTGCGCCTTTCGTATCAGTCAACTACTAACTCTCACTTTTTTAACACAGTAGTCCCCCGAGCGCTCTCTGATGGAGCAGAGTCGTGGGCCGATGCTCCAATCACGTCAAGAGTTTAGCTGACTATCCTCAGCGTGTTTGAGTGATGCCTTCTGAAATTTAAAGACATTCACAACGTCTAGCCGGAATTAGCAGCTCAGATCTTTGAAATCTACACCATTTCCGGAATCCAAAACAATATATGTTGACGACAAAGCACAGACATGTCAGTCATAGAATAAGAAGAACAGATGGCTGTTGGACAAAGGGAACTGTGAAGTGGACTTTACTGGAGTGAAGAAAGAACAAAGGTATACAATCATACTGTTGGAGGGCTCTAACGATGGGTAGACGTGCTGATGGCTAACGTCAAACATCTGAATTAGAGGATGGAAACGATTTTAAGAATTCGTAATGGGCATCGTGGACGCCGCCATGCTTGAAGCAGACGACCGTCATGAACGACGATTGCATGTAAAAGAAAAGAATCGAAATTGTCCCGGGGCTCACACAACCACGGAAGACGGGCCATCTAAGTATCTAAGTAAGTAGCATCCACGAATTACTTCAGGCTTTTGCTTTTCGGTTCTGGTGTTGCTCAGCAATTTCTGTCAAATACTGGGCGAATCGATTCAACCTGAAATTCCGAGGCAGCCGTGCTAAACTGTTTCAACGCCTTCAGCGCAGGCACATCTTCGCGTATTGTAATTGCAGAGAGCAAGTAGATCGCAGACAGGTGTAGTGCCAATTTCCCAACACCTCGAAGGGATGAGATCTTGCTGGTACTGAGTAAAGGTCAAACCAGATTTTTGAGAGTACTGAGCAGTCACACACTCAGTTAATCACATTGTGCTCATCGCGCCTCTTTAATGTTAATTATGATTAGTTATGAGAAAACGACTTCGTCAGAGTGAATTCTACGCTCTTTGCACAAATGTTTTCTGTACGGGTTTATTGGGCATGTATGGTCTCTTAAAAATTAAATGCTCTGCTTGAGAAAATATAACTGGCTTTTTTTTAGATCAGAGTTTTCTCACCACGACAGTTCGACCGCCAACAAGACATGGTCGAGAATCAGTTAGCAGTTCAGAAGTAAGTTTTATTGAAAATTTTTCGTGTAAGTCACTTCTTGTTCATGAACAAACTCACCGTGTTATCGTGGGTGCAATTTTCTGAAATTTCTGAATCCGTTTGCATTGAAAAAAGGCTTCCTGGTACCACAAAGAGGTACACGTTATGGCCAGAAAAGACATTTAGAAGTTAGCAGTATTTAGGAGGCTTAGAACTCCTCGATAATTTGTTTTTAAGCAATTTCAAATCACTCTTGGAACTTTAATAATCACGTTTATTCCACACAGAAAATCTCCTAAGTTGAATAAACATGAATCACTTTGATGATGTTAACGCAAGCGTAGTGAAGCCGCTTATCCTCTAGGGTCAGAAAATTAGTAGTTCACTTTTTGCTACCCAACTAGGAGCGCTCTAGACCGGCAATCTCAGAGCTCCAAGAAAAATCGACTCGACCAGCATTCTACGACATTCAAGATGAAATGAAAAATCCTCGAGCGGCAGAGGAAGCCACACTTAAAATCTGGAAGACCCTTGTCGATGATGGATCCGACGAAAGCAATCGAATATAAGAAATGCTGGGATCCGCACAGTAAATGTGAAGACGGGTAGTACAGAATGGAAAAATATACCTATTGAAAAGAATACTTCTGGCACCATTAATCAAAATGAGGTGTGTAAGGCGTAGAGATTGGAGGCGCCTGCAATACAGATGGGATCGATCCACGGCGCCCAAGCTCACCAAGCCTTCCATCCCTCCGGAATCGGCAAATTGGTACCAGACTTGTCTGGGAGGATAGCATCATTGGCACAATACATTGATGGGCCACCTCAAGTCATTTTAAAGGCCAGATAAGCTTTGAATCACCTCGAACGGTGCTTAATGAGGTCGAATGCGCGTGCACAGCGCATCCTTTAGGACTTGATCAACGCCGACAGCTTTATCCTTCTTTTTGTTATTAATCAAAAGCAAAGACCAATTAACAGTTTTTAAAATGACGAACTCACTGAATAAATCTTTACCCACCTTGTTACAGAAATTGAAAATCATTGTTCTATGACCCTCGAGGAATATAATACAGAATTCAGATCGGATTAAACGTTGTATAAATCACCCGCTCCATTCTCAATTAACTACTTAATGAAAGTGACAATAGAGAACTTGGAAAAGTGGAGTATAATCTGGAACCTCCAAATCTTTCTATCCCCGAGTCTGAACTAAGTGGATTGGAGAAGGTAACCTAATGAATTCAGCGATAAGTGGTACAACAGTGTACTACTTCTAAACAACTAAATCTTCTATAATATACGGTTCCACAAATTTCGCTGCAGTCCCCAAAGCCGGTATTTGTGAATTATTTATGACCAACACTTACGAGCCGATTGTAATCGAGACGAGTAGAAATGAAGTAGAGAAGGATGTATAGTGAAAGACGGTGAATGTTAAGGAGATGGGAAATTGGGAGAAATTCATCGGGCATTGCATTAAGAATTGAATTACTAGTCTGCCACAGATGAGATATCATTGTAGTTCCAGTCCTGCTTAATGGTAACAGCACGAGAAGTGGGAAAGGAGTATTGAAGTGAAAAGTGGCACAGAGCTCCAACAATGTGAACTAAACCGTACTCACAAATTACCAGATGGTCGCTCTCGGTGCAGATGTTATTCAACTTTGTTGACTAAAAATTAAAAGGGTGAAGCTCTCGGCATTGATCAGTTCCTGAGAGATGCGCCATACATTAGACTTCATTAAGCATCGTTTGAAGGTGATTGAATGCATATCTGACCTTTGTAAATGACTCATGGTAGCCTACCGATGTCTCGAGTCAGTGCTGTTGTCCTCACAGACAAGACTGGTACCAATTTTCCGACCTCGGAGAGATGGAAGGCCTGGCGAGCCAGAGCGACCGGGATCGATCCCACATGTGTGTTGCAGAGCGCCTCCGACCACTGCGCTACACGCGCCCCTTGTTGTGTTTACTGTAAGCACAGAAGATCTCTAACAAGGATGTGGTGAAAAGCTCATTGAATGACATTTAAGATGGTGGTCTAGTTTGCAGCACATTAGGAATGGGAGTGTATCCACAAACATCGGATTCCCATTTTGTTCGAAGAAAGTGGCAGAATTAGAACGAGAACATGAAGACGATATCTAGAAACTAGCCTAGCGGCAGGCGAAACGAAGGACAAACATAGTGTGGTGGTGAACGCGTTAGTCTCCGGAAAGAAAAGAAGCGCGTTCGTTCTCCATCCAGACACATGTGGTCCGTAGTTTTGTAAATATCTCAGCACCAGTGTGGTTTCTAGATTGTCAAAATCAAAATCAAAGCAACACGATATAAAAGAAAGGCTGCTATGCTTTCCTAAAAGGTTAGCACTAGGAGCAGACCTTATTAGAAATATTAACGTTTGTTAGCGAAAATGGTTGATTGCATGTAGGAATTGCATCTTGCATGTAATAAGAGGTGTAGGATATGCCAACTACAAGTACCTGCAAGCTGTGAATTGTGGTTTCTGAAGCAAATCTTCTTATACATAACGTCTAAAACATCATCAAAAGCTTGGCGTAATAACACATGATGACTCTTTCAGAGACAAGCCATAGTGAAAGATATTGACGGATGCGCACTTCGTGAACACCGGGCCACTCTAAAGAACTCTCGTTAACGATTTATCAACTTATAATAGCAAAATCTGCCTCTAACTGTTAAATTCCAGTATTCAAATATGGATACTTTTGCTCATTCTTCGCCAATAACAAAAATATCTGTCGATAAAACCTCTTCAACAGCAATGCTCTCTCACCGTAAGATAAACCTGTTCCAAAAATAGTTTTCTCTCTAATTTATTAAATATAGAGGGCAGTCTTTCAAAGGATACGCCTAAATTTGCACTTGTGTTGGAGAACCTATCGACTGGATAAAAAGAGTGCAGCAGAAAACCTCTGCATGGCAAAATAAGCTATTGGAAATGATATGCATTGGGAACAAAGCACTTCGTCCACTTCTTATCCCCCACTCATGCCTGCCTTTAGAGCATTACGTGTTAATAAGCTTAGTTCACTCGAACTTCTAACGCTTATCATATGACAAATTGTTAAAATACACCAAGAGCTTCAGGAATCTGTTTGTTATTCTGCTTGCATTATCGTTTCTAACAACGGCATTTCTATGGATCGGATAGAAACAAGTTTCAGGGCGCTCATAGCTCAACTCCTTCAGATTCACGAAAAGAGGATAACGCCGTCTTAACAGGGTCAACTTCAAGAGTTCAAACAACGGAGGACGAATTTCTAGAGAAACTGTACGTTTTTCTAAAGGTTTGAAAAACCTTCTCATAATGTTGAAAAGCTTCTTAATAGCATCTCATTAGCTAATCTCATGACAAAACATCTCCTTAACTAACCTCATGACAAAGCCATTTCCACGGAATACAGCAGTGGAAGCTTTGCCTGAAGCTCTGCTACATTCACCTCCATCGCTTTTTTGTCGTCCTCAATACTAATTCATTTCCAGAATCTCATGTGATTCTAAAAATTTATATTATCAAATGTTTTGAAGAATTTTAAAAGTGAAAACTTACTCGGAAACCCCAAACCTTTTGTTTTAGCCCTCTAAGCTTGTTTTAGCTTGTTCAAGCTTAATGTTCATCCATCTCTTATTAACAACAATAAAAAATAGTTATGCATTAAAACTAGAAGTTTTCGTTCACCACCGGGTCATTGTTCAAGTTTTTCAATTACGGAAAGAATAAGGATCTTAGGAATAAAATCCGACGAAAGTCTTTGGTGAAGATGAATGAAGCGGAGACAAATCAACGAGAAGAAAGCAAAACTGCGATCATTGAAGAAGTTTTGAATGGTGCTAACAACAGCTCACTGACGGTACGTTCAGTAGTTTTTGTTATCGAGAAATATAAATTCTACTGATGAATGAACACTTCTCAGTAGGACAATGACTGAAAACAATAGTATAATCATATATAATGTAAGGTGGAAATTTTGGTAGAACTTCGTTATTTGATTTGACCCTGGACAGCTTCATATCGCTACAGCTGTTCATAGAACTGGGAAGTCCTTAAACATATAAGAATTTCAAGACCAACTTTGACTTAACATTGACGTTAAGCAATAAGAAGTTATCAAATCGGTGTTCTTGACGGGACAATAAACATACGACAAGCATCGTACGAGTTATTGCAGAGACACTTGGCCTGTACAACGATTCGCGGCTTTCTATTGATGCATCAAGGTAGTGTGTCTATTCGTCTAGACAAGTCTATTACAAATTTGTCGACTCAAGAGCGGTAGAGAGCTTGAAGAGGCTAGGGCGCGAGATCGAACCATGGGCCAACTATGGGCACCCAAAGCTACCGCAGTGACAAAATTCGTGCCACAATGGCAAACGTTTCTATGGACTCTAGACTTTTCGGAATAGACAGCAATGAAGTCAGCCAGTGCAAGCTCGTCCTAGTTTTCCTAATCCAGAAAGAGTGGAAGGTAAAATATTGTAACCTAATCAGCACATTTCTTTATGTTGTTCAGCTTGCATGAAGTTGATACAAAATTCAACAATCGGTCAACAACCACCTTTTATAAAACGACAATGCCTAGTGATGCTTCTTCATTAGAACTGTGTCCCAATCTAGAAGATTCGACTCGATGTAATTGCGAAGACCCACATCCCAAGGACTAATGGATGTGGACTGCTTTAGTAAACTGTCGTTATTAGCATGGGTACTAATAGAGGGCGCGTGTGACGCAGTGGTCGGAGACGCCCTGCAACACACGTGGAATCGATCCCCGCTCCCATGGCCCACCAAGTCTTCCGTCTGTCCGGGTTCGGCAAATTGGTACCAAACTTGTCTGGGAGGATAGCAGCACTGGCTCGATACATCGGTAGGCTACCGCGAGTCATTGTAAAGGCCAAATATGCATTCGATCACCTCCTAACGCTGCTTAATGAAGTCGAATGCATGGCGTATCTCTCAGGGATTGATCAACGTGGAAAGCTTTATCCTCTATCCTTTATAGGGACTAGTCATAGCAATTGCCAGCCAAAACAACGTAACAGTTACATTTGAAATGCTGTTGGTCTTGTCGAAATTGTTGAGCTTACACGAGATTGTTCCCGAACGTTTATTCGGCTGACGTCTCGACGTCTAAGTTTTCTTTAAAGTCGATGATCCGAGTCAATATCCACGGTTTTTCGTATTCGTATTCGATGTGGCATGTTCGTCTTCGTTTCGAGTCGGATCTTCCACAGTGGAGCATCTCTCGAAAGAGGCAATCTCACCCGACGACATTTTTTTCTACAGTATGATTCTTGTCGACGTGATTGTTCGGTGCTAACGCCTTGTTTTTTTCGGACAATCTATCCTGCGGAAGTCGGTATCATTATCAGCTTGCTATTATTACTGTTGGTTGTTTCCAATTCATTCAGCGGAAGACAAAAAATTCTTGCAAGCATCAGCTCGCACCAACACTTCATATTGTAGGTTAGACTTCACCCTAGAACTAGCATTAGGCAAGTTCCGCTCTATCGATTGCCAAGTTTAGTCTATAATTTGAATACTTCCATAACTTTGCGAGTAGAGCATGAACACAGTGGATTACGTGGCTTTGGTCAATGAAGACAAAAAACGTCATACTTATAAAGCTACTATAGATCGTTGCAAGTTTAGAATGGAAAGACCTTATCGCCTCCATCGACCTCGGGAACACCAAACACGTATCGAGTCACCTTTGAGCAGGCTGATGAGGCATCTGCGAGAGTTGCAGCGGTGGACCTCGCGACATCCGCCGATAGACAAGCGAAAGAAAAGCAAAGCAGGTTCGTCTCCTACTTTCTATTTTCCGTACTAAACTAGCCAAAACGCATCCAAGATCGCTCCACGTTTAGTACTTCTTGATAAAAGCACATTCAGATCTGAAACGTTGAATTAGAAACATGGAAAGGAGTGCGTAATGCTAGTTTATCTTGTTAACGAAAGACGTATCTAAAAGCGGAAATTTTGTCAAATAACGAATTATGAAGAAACGATAAATGCGTAGGTGTTTATTGGGCGCGAGTAGTGCAGTGGTAGTGTTGCTAATACACACAAGACCCTCGACCAACCTCCAGTCCTCTGTGAGAAACTCCCTTGGATTTCCGTTGCTTAAGAACGCCCGAGCATAGCTATCCCAGAACATTCATAATGAGTGCGAAAATTCCTTAACCAGCAGCCGAACCCACACAAAACAAGAAGACCTTCGCAAATGATTGATGAAAGCGTTGCAGGAAAAGCTGGGATTGGCAAAATGTCCTTGACATTTGGTTATTTAAGATTAAAAAGAACGGCTGAGAGAAAGGCGATACGACGAACCCGATGGTGAACACGTTAGCCTCAGTATAGGATAATAACGGTGAAACGAACGACGGTGTGGTGGTGAACACCTTAGCCACCGGAAAAGGTAATAGCGGGTTCGATCCTTACCGGAAACACCTCCTGTTTGGAGTTTTGCAAATATCTTAACAACACTATGGGTAAAATAGATTAATTAAATCTGTATTCATCCTTTTATGGTTACTAAAAATGCTTAGTTGAGTGAAGTGGGGCAATTTGGTACATCCGCAAAGCTTTCAGAACGACTGACTGCGCGGCGGCTTCGATCTAAGCGATCGGTCGCCGTGAACTTAGTTGTTTTGCAAGTTTATTGCGAAGCAATAATTTATTGTGAAAAAGATACTGTACTCTCTATTGTTGAACCTAGTCCTAATTAAAATAACTTCTTCAAGGCTTAGATTATCATTTCCATGCAAGCATCACAATTGGAGATAATTTTGAAACCGACCCTCATTTAACCTCGGTATTAGAATGATCAACATGTGTTTATAATGTTGAGTTTACATGAGGTTGATAAAAATGTTTATTCGGCTGACGTCTCAATGGTTTTATCCTCATCAGAGCCGATGACCCGAATCAATGGTCTACAGTTGTTCGTGTGTCGTTGATACTGTTATTCGCTGATAATAGTTTGTTTTTAAACGGATAATTCACCCTGCAGCGCCTAGTATTATGAAAGCTACCACTTGGCGAATAGCAAAATAAAAAATGAAAGTAAAAAGTAAGAGTAAAAATAATAAAAAGGTAATAAACTAATAACTAATAGCAGAGCAAACACGATTGGATATAGTTTGATTTCATCCGGTTAGAACTGAAATATGTGAAATCAATAATGAGAGAAGAATGACGTTAGAGGAAGTGCTGAAGAGTTCTCAATGAGAACATGGAAGAGAGCTTTAATAGCTACTCAAGTCTTCAAAGTTTTAATATGTTAGCAGTTCGCTCGATTCCGTGCTAGCATATCAGCTCTAGTGTTTCTAGGAACAGACACAGGTCTGACCTCCGAACTCTCGGTGTTTATAGTGCCAACGAGAAGATGTTGAATGAGCCGATCGCATTCCGATGTTATTGAGAACGGCATCCTCCCAACAGCCGACTAAAGACAATGACAAACTCAGATAGCCACTCACCCTGTTTGTTCCATTCTAATCCGTGGGTTCCAATGTGACGTTCTTCAGACGTTCTTCTTGGACCAGTGTTGGCGCTGAAATCTCCAATAATGACTTTGAAGAATGTGTGATTTTCTCTGTAGAAGTTCTCCAAATCCATATATAACCCTTCGACTTCTTCATCGTCGTACTTTGATATAGACGCGTAAACGACAAAGATTCTCAAAGCCGGTAGTGATCCACATCTGTTCAATCGTAAACGCATCTGATTCGGGTTGTTAATTGTTCGAATGAATCGATGTTTATGGCTAAACTCGTGTTGAGGAGAACGCCGACACCGCCGACACCGCCGACTCCTCTATTGCCACGTGCTCCAACGAACAGTTCTTCTCCGCTATCATAGACGGCGTTGAATGAGTGGCGTCCTCTCGTCTCGACCAGTGCAGTGATGTCGTATTTTTTCCTTCTTGCCTGCATGATCAAGCCTTCTATCGAGGGCTCAGATGCAAGGCCGCACGTATTATAGGCACAGATCGTCACCTTAGTCCTTTGCGATTTAAACAGCTTGGAATGGCTGTGAGATTTTAGCAGGCTTTCCGTACTCGTCCTACCCAACGCAACCGAATCGGCGCGCTCTCGAGTCCAGGAGAATGAGACGCTTTCATTTTACTGTGTTTAGTTTCCTGATACCCACGTATAGCTTGTTGAGTTCTGAACACGGGGCCAGGTATACTCACGGGTAGCTCGCCAGGCTCTCCCAGAGTGGACGTGGAGCTTATTTGTTAGAGACGGCTCCCAACCGCCTTCCATATACTTCCCTGTGGCTTGATTGCAGACTTTTGGCCAAACTGACTGGTAGAATGCAATACGCATAAACGAGACACATCCGGGCACGCATGCATGAGTACGCCCCGTAAATGTAGAAAGTATGTGCCGACTCGGCCGGCGCAGCAGAAAGAGGGAGTCGTTCCCCTTTATCCATCTGCGTCTCAGGGAAGCATATTGTCGCTTCTGGTCCGCAACCATCCTCGCAACCGCCACCTTGGGACACTCCACGTAACCTAACGACTAACTGGCTCCAGATCCCTAATATGAGTGTGATCTGTGGCCTGTTCAGTGCTTGGACATTAATGGGGCTCCACAGCACTTCCCAAAAATTAGAGATAGATTTCCAGACATAATCGTGCCCGCCATTTGCGATCGGAACAAGATTAGCTGTTTGGCGAAAAGCATTCACAAATTATGGTAGAGGTTTCTGCTAATAGTAACTAGCTACAGATCGAATCTCTAATATTGTTTGTCTCTAGAAATTTAGTCTGGGCAACCACAACAGAAACCTTTGCCTTAAGCACCAAAAATTCCTCCATATAGAATAGAAAGTAATGTTAGAGAAAGAATCTGGAAGAATCACTGGTTCATTGCTTAATGTAATCTACAGCAGAGCGTGTAGTGAAGTGGTTAGATGCTCACCGCAATACATATGGGATCGAACCTGCTTTCCAGACTCAACAAGCTCTTTGTCCCTTCAGAGAGGCAAATTATTACCAGACGTGCCTAGAAGATGGCAGCATTGACTCGATACATCGGTAGACCACCGTGAGTCATTGTTTAGGCTGGATATGCATTCAGTCAATCCTCTAACTAAAATAAATAAAGTCGAATTTATGGCGCATTCCTCAGGGATTGATCAACGCCGAGGGCTCTATCCTTTATTTTTATTTATGGTTTGCATAGAAAACGGAGCTATCAGCACCAGTATTTCAGTGCACCATGTGAGCAGTCGTTATTTTCTCCAACTTTTCAAAACGGCAAAAGTACGCATGACAAATGGCTCGAAAGAAAATCAGAGGAAAATCGAAGGCGAAGAGAAAAAATGAGGAGAGAAGCTGCTAAAAGGGAAGAGGTAATCGTCAGTGTTATCTTATTAGGTTTATCTGTTTTCTTAGTGAACGTGAATACAGCATTGTGCACTGCGAAGCATTTGTCGACCATTTTGTCCTCGTTCGGGCTACACTACTGTTATCTAGTTGTTAACAACATATTTTTTATACGACCCGTTATCACGGCTACTGTGCGGATTCCAGCACTTCTTACATTCGATTCGTTTGGTTGCATCCACTGTCTACAAAGATCTTCCAGCTTTAACGTGTGGCTTCGGTTGTTGGTTGAGGATTTTCATTTCGCTTTGAACGTCGTAGAATGCTGATCGAGCAATTCTCCCTGGAGTCCTGAGATAGCTGGGCTGGAGCGTTCCCATTTGGATTGCAGAGAGTGATTTTTTCTCAGACAAGTCCTGTACAGATTTTTCGACCCCAAAAGGATGACAGACTAGGTTGGCCTGGAACGGAATCGAACTAGCACCGTGCTCGACGGACATCGCTACCACTGTGCTATCCGCCCCCTGTTAACAACGTAAATCCGATTATAGTGGGTTCGGCTGGTTCAGGAGCAGTCCTGCTCTTCAAGAGTGTCGTTTAATGCTGGTCAGTGGGTTACCATGTTGCTGCCAGATCGCTATAAAATGTCGCCAAGCTCCTTTTGGAGATCGGTTTGCTAGCTCGCGAGAAGGATTTGCCAACGAATTGGAGAACCACCTCACAGGCTCTTCTTGAAGATTCACTAAAAATTCCTGCAGAACCAGTTGTCTTGGATTTGGCAAACCTCTTGCTTTTCTACTTCACTATGTCCTTCCTGTTAAGCCTACCTTCACGCTCATAACGTTTTGACAAAACTTTGAAGAAATTGGGAAAATTAAAATTTTGAGTGTCTCTAGACTAATAGCAGGTGCACCACGATAATAAACATTCTATAAGATGGTAAACTTTCCACCTATTTTAGATTGCAGAAAATTTAGGAGGAAAAAGAAAGAAGAGAAGAAGCAAAAAAGTTATTCGAGAGATGGAAACGTGACCGAGACGAAAAAGATCGTGAAGAGCGAAGACGAAAACGAGAGAAGGAAAAAGAAGAACGTGCAAAAAAGGAGGAATTGGAAAAAGCAAAAAGGATTGAAGCTGGCAAAGTAATTAACTTGAATCACATATTGCATATCCTTTGTTTCCCTCTTTTCCATTCTAGTCTATTTCAAAATTATTTAAGGATTTCTAACACATTAGTAAAAGTGTCCATTAAGCTAAAAAGTTTTCAGTCATTTGAGGCATGGAAGAGATCACATTTAAAGCCACGTCTTAAGCAGTCGGATGAAGCTGAGAAAAAAATGCAAAAAGAGGAAACCAGAAAGGAAGCTGAGGAAGCTTTTACTGCTTGGTAAAAATTTTCTCATCGATGTTCGTTCACAAAAACACATTAATAATTGAACCGATAACTAGATAACAATGGAGAGGATAGTCTCTTTATGATTCACATCAACTTTCCTATTACCAGCTTCACTTCGACATTATTTATTTGTTGCCTACTACCTTCTTTTTAATGACGGGGCCTGATGTGAAATACACCCACCATGATGCTGAGATATAAGCAAAGCTGGGAAGCCTAGGTGCGCTTCCAACCCATAAGTGGGGAGCGGTTCGCAGCTAAGGGGCTATCCACTACAACAACCGACCTGAGGTTCCGAGTTTTGCTCATATCTCAGCGTCACTGTTGTTGTGTTCCACATCTTGTCCTGTCATGAAAAAATGATGAGCAGTAAATAATTGTTAGAGATTATTTTCGACATTTACATCGCAACGCTAAATTACCCTTTACATTTTGTTCTATCAATTTTTTGTTGCCTTTTTCTTTCCCTGTACTAAATTTCGACATCGAAATATTTTCCGAAGTTTTGTGCGCGGTGACAGTTTTTGGCAACTGGGACGGAATTCTGATGCACCTTCTTTACAATTATTCTTCGATTTCTTCTCGAAAAGGGGACGCGTGTGGCAGTGGTCGGAGGCGCTCTGCAACGCTCGTGTGGAATCGATCCCCGCCCCCATAGTCCACCATGCCTTCCATCCTTTCTGGGTCGGCTGGTTGGATAGCAACACTGGCTCGATACATCGGTAGACTACCGCGAGTCATTGCAAGAGCCAGACATGCATTCTATCAGCTCCAAACAATGTTTAATGAAGCAGAACGCGTGGTGCATCTCTCAGGCATTGATCAACGCCGAGAGTTTTATCCTTTATCGTTTATCAGGCATTTTTAATTAATGAGCCTGAGCTTTTCACTCCTATTCCCCTATCAAACGACCCCATTATCCACTGAAATGTAGCGATAGTGGTGATCAACTTTATAGAAACAGTACATTTTTGTTGCACCCTTCCAAATGAAAATGGTAAACTTGTGATGAAAGAACGGTGTCGTATGAACGGTGGTACGACATCACCCAGCAGGAGTTCTTGTATAAACCATGAATATTCCTTCCTTGACGATTGTTCACATCACTGGATTTCTTTCATGTCATCAGATGTATTTTCGTAATCGATAATGGTGTTAGAATGAGATAGGTGGTCTCCGACGGAATTCCGTTAGCCTATCTGCTTTGAATGGAGTCTACTCTTTTGCGCTGTTTATTGTGGCCGATATAACAAATCGCTGTCGAAGTCTTTGATCTTTGTAACAGAACGATCGTTACAGTAACTTTATTGACTAAATAAGCATTAAGAACCTCATTCTATGCTGGGCATCCAACTAAGCTTCTCTTAAGATGGTGAAAATTTTTGTCATATGTTTCTCAGTTGGGCTTACCGATGTAGATGGTCAATTTCTCAGCTTGAGGGGCGAAGACTGATAGAGTAACTCTCCACTGTACATTGCAGTTCGACTTCATTTTTCCACAATAAGGCGGTATACATGCAGGCACACATAAGCAGACGAAGACGATACTAATCGGTTGTCAGCGACATGAGTCATATATGACTCATTGAAGGACTAGTCTCATTGTACATTTAAACTTTATACAATCCTATCTCAGCTCTATAACCTTTTGGGGAGCATGATACATTTTCCTGCTTTTTCAGTTAAAATAGAAAGCATATACTGGAACGATTTAGAAAACAGGATTTCGCATGTTATAACGCTGTGTTGTCCACAGTGGGTCGTTAATATTCTCTCCAATCAGGTTGCGTTTGAAAATCTAAAAGTTCAAGGAGGTTTTCAGTTTTCTAAAAATTTGAGTTTTAAACAAAGTTAGAAATAAAAAATGTTCTGGGAAAAATGTCTACCCTTCTTCAATCATTCACGTGTTTTCCGCGTGAAAATAACACTGGTTGTCCAGAAATCCGGGGCCAACGAAAAATTAAGCTTCATCGTTAACTTGTTAGGAAAGCCGTGCTATGTGAAAAAACGGAGTTGTTTTATTTATGTAGATAAGAGAGATTTTCATTATGACCGTGTAGTCGAAGTGCTACGAGTAGGTTTTTAAAAGAATTCGTGTTTAGATCCTTTTTATCGGAAAGTGGCCTCAAAACTGCAGAGCTAAAATTCGCTGTTCTCTTGATAAGCGAAGTTGCTGCTATACGCTTTATTCACAAAAGCTGACTTTTCGCCGGATATCCCCTTTTTCAGAGCCTAGAAGGGTCATGTTGACTGCAGTCAAGTTTGTGTGAATAAAGAGTATAGTAACAACCACGGGACTTGGGTGGTAGTTTGGAAAACCAACCTTCATCAAACCTTCGCATTAATAATTAATCCTTTTAAATCCTATGAACGGTTCTCGTTGAGCTGACGCGAGGTTGTTGGCACGTGAACTCGAGTTTTTTCGGCTGACGTTACATCGAATTCGCCCTACTCAAAGCCCTTTTTTCTCTCAGAGGATAAGACTACCTCTTGTTCAGCGTATTTGAAATATAAACGGATGGCCCTATTTTTTACAAGAAAAAACTGTTCGAAAGAAAACGAAAATGCCGAAAGGTTGACCGTCACGTTTCGAAACACGTGGTAAAAGCCGCTCAAACAGGAACAGATCATACGATTTAAACAAATCAATTAAAGTGTTTTATTTTAACGATATATTTCTGTTAAATGCTGGCCTCCGAGTATTAATTTTAGGAAAAACAAAAAGGAGGAGATCGAACGCAATCGGAGACGTGAAATCGAACGAAAAGAAGATGAGGAAAGAAAACGGCGAAAAGAAGAGAGCGAATATAAGGAGTTGTTAGCACAACAAACCTATGAAACGTGGTTAGAATTAAAGGTGTCGTTCATTATTGTAATATTTTTCTTATCTTTACATAACCCAGCCCACACATTGTGCAGATTCCAGCGCTGTTTTTATCCAATTCCTATCTAAAGATCCGTCGACCATAAAGGTTTTCGAATTTTCTTGCCGATTCGGCTGCTGCTTGAGGATGTTAGGTCCACACTGTAAATTTCTTGGCATGGTCTTTAAGAAAGTTCTCTCTTAAGTGCTTAATAAGCCGTGTCAGAAAATTCCTAGATCTTTGCAACATGCAATTTTCACCGTTTGTGAATCGGTAAGAGTTAAGAGGACTGAGTGAGGGAGGGGGTTATTTCAGCAGACTCGAAGTCGAATCAAGCCGCTGTTTATGTTGAAGCACTGCATCTTTTCAGAATCCCAGACTTTGGGTGGTAAGTAGTCTAACTCCCAATAACAAAGGAACACAATGACTAGCCTTCGTGAACTCTCGTTACCACATTCACTGCCTCACAAATATACCGACTCGGAAGTCACCGATTCGCCAGCACTATTTAGCTTGCAACGATTTTTTGGAAAAAAATTAGCGTTTAAGGAGAATGAACGGATTTTATCTCGAAGTATGCGTTCGCTAAAGCTCACTGACATCACTCCCTTACCTTGGCTTCCACCAAGTAACACGTGCCCAAGGCGATTTACGCCGTCATTTACTAAGAGGTTTGTCAGAGTTCTTCTGTAATTGCTTAGCTTTTTAGTGTGATTCTACAAAATCAATAACGTGCTAACTCTGTAAGGTCTTTTTACATGTCTTTAGATCCTGCCTTGTACTTTTTAACTGATCGATTGAGGATGGTAAAGAAATGCTTAGGCTTTAACATTACCTAGTAGCTTTCTGAACTTATCCAAATAGGTTTCAATACAGTATTTCCTTATTCTTCTTTTAGATTGACTAATCCGTGCCAGTTCGTCAGCTAAGGTTACATTGAATTCTTCAAATGCTCTGTTTACCAGAATTTTCGAAGAAATTCCCAAATTCGAGAAGATTTCAATGTTTTAGCGGTGCAATCATTGAAAAAAAGTTGTTAAGGAAACTTTAAAAACTTGTAGGAAAAAGGCTTCGCACGAGGTGATATGACTGCTAAAATTTGTGGATCACCTTAAACTCACACTAGCAAAACATATTTCCTCTATTAGCGTCTATAGACCTGGACACGATAAGCTTTCCATTCTTCTTGAATCTGAACCTGTTTGTTTAGGAGACGAACGCTCGATCGTCGCCCACGTGTTACTTCTGCTTATTATAGATGGACAAACAAGGTTAATTAATCAAAGAACAGAATTACTTCTAATTTCCCACATAGTGTTATATCATGTATTGGGGATACTAATAAATTATTCCTGAGTATTTCATGAACCGACAAAATATAATATAATATGGGCATGTGGGCTGAACTTATAGAATTACTATAGGATAAAAAGGATAAATAAAGGATAGAGCTCTCGACGTTGATCAATCCTTCAGTGATGCTCCATGCATTCAACTCCATTAAGTGTTGTTGGAGGAGACTGAATGCAAATCTGGCCTTTACAATGACTCGCGGTGGCCTGCCGATGTATCGAGCCAGTGCTGCTATCCTCGCACACAAGTGTGGTACCAATTTGCCGACTCCGGAGCGATGGAAGGCTTGGTGGGTCATGGGTGCGGGGATCAATTCCACGTGTGTGTTGCAGGACGCCTCCAACCACTGCGCCACATACGCCCTATGTGGACTGGACTTATAAGATTGCAGTGGGAAAATTTCGCACCCAGATTTCTATTGGTGAGATGCTATAAATGCCTAGACTCGAGTTGAACAATGGAATGGTTTCTTTGTATTTATGTATGTATGTATTATTCTAAAATAAAATCTGGTCAGTCGATTTTTCTTCTAGGCAGCGTAAACTAAGCCTTTCTGAAACTTTGCGCATATATATGACTTGACGCTTTACCGTAAAACGGCTGCATTTGTAAATATCGAATTGCGATGAACAGCAAAGAGCTGATTACACCGACATGGAGTGCCCCGATGCCTCCATGAGGATTTCTTTCAAATGTATACCGGGAATTACCAGCGTAGATGGAAAATTTATCATCTCAGTAGGAACCTAATCAGGAGCTGAAAAACAAGTATGGCCACCCAGTGTACCTTTGAGTTCACTTCTATTATATCAAGGGTGTGATTGAATTAGTAAGAAGTAACGGTGTTTCGGGCTCCGAGAAAGCATTGAGATCTATTACAAACAGCATGCCTGCTGTCACCTGTATCACCTGCAGTCCCGTTGATCGTCGAGTGACTCGAGCGGGCGCCAGTAAATCTTCCATTTTTCTCTGCCGCGTGCAAGAGTAGCGCTGTGGATTTTGCTCGCTCTAAGGACTCGTCGAGCATCATCTCTTTTTTTTAGGCTTTTCATGAAGAACTCTGACCATCAGGTCGGTGGTTTTCCTGCAGTACGTTTGACATCCTGTGGAATCCAGTCACTAACGGGTCTTGCCCATCGGTTGTCACTCATGCGCATTACGTGTCCGGCCCACCTTTTCTTCGACTGTTTGGCGTACAAAACGGAGTCTTTGATTTTTGATCGTTGACGCAGATCGGAGCTTCGGATCCCATCCGTTACTTGTGTGGAACGGTATACTCCAAGCATCGTCCTTTCGACTGCGCATTCGATAGCGGTGAGTGATCCTTCATCCAGTTTACGCAGCGACCAGGTTTCTGACGCATACGTTAGGGCAGGAAGTACCGTTGAATCAGAAAGGTGGGCACGGAGTCGGGTGTTCCTTGTTCTCTTGCTGCATACTCGATGCTCTTAAAAGCTCCCCAAGCCACTCGTTTTCTTCTGCTCAGCTCTGGAGCTAGGTTGTTCATCGTATTGATTTTCCGACCTGGATAGATATAACTGGAGTATTCTGAGAAATTCGTTCCGTTGAGCGTGAATGGGGCATGCGAAACCAATCCGTTCTCCGTGGACATCGTTTTTGCAAGATTTAGTCGAAAACCAATCTTTCCACAGGCTTTATCAAAGTCGGCAAGCAAACGCTCCGCTTGGCTAATGTTTGGTGTTATAAGGACGATGTCATCAGCAAAGCGAAGATGGTGTAACTGCCGACCGTCGGTTTTCACTCCCATATTATCCCATTGCAATGTTCGTATGACGTTCTGGAGGATGGAGATAAATCATTTTAGCGAGATGGTATCGCCTTGGCTAACTCCTCTTTTGACGTCAATGTTAATATTGTCGTAGAATGGTGATATCTTGGTTGTGACATTTTTGTACAGCTCACGAAAAACCTTTATGTACTGAGTAGGGACTCCTTGACTATCAAGGGCTTCCAAGACCGCTTTTATCTCAACTGAATCAAAGGCCTTCAATAAATCGATGAAAGTAAGACATAGCGGTCTTTTGTACTCTCGCGATACTTCAATGAGCCGTGCTACCTTGTTGATGTGGTCTATCGTACTAAATCCTCTTCAAAACCCTGCTTGCTCACACGACTGTCCTTCGTCAAGTGTTCTGTTAATCTTGTTTAGGATGACTCGAGTAGAAAGTTTGTAGACGAAAGACAGTAAACAGATTGGGCGGTAGTTTCCGATATCGTGTAGGTCATCCTTCTTGAACAATAACACTGTCTTGCTGGTCTTCCACTGAGAAGGAATCTTGCATTCAGACAGGTAACGTGTAAAGAGCCGAGCCAGTATATTTACTAGGACTGGCGGAAGGTTCTTCAGGTGTTCTGGTCTTATCCTGTCCGGACCTGGTGTTCGATTTTTCTCCGACGAAATCCCGTGTCGGATTTCGGAAGGGAGAACCGGTGTTACAACATGTCCATACTCCTTTATTTGATATGACGGGAGGTGGCCGTGGTTACCGAAGAGATCGGAGTAGTATTCGTAAATGATTTTCTCCATTGCCTTTCTGGACGCTATAACTGTTCCGTCTGGGCGTTGGAGTGCAATCATCTTAGTCTTGTAATTGGCAAAACTTCGGAGGGCTTTCTGAATGCTTTTCCCATCCTCTGAATTTTCGACCACTGCTGCTGCTCATCTCCAAGATCATGGTTTAACGCCTGCCTACATCGATTTCCAAGTCCAGACGTTAGTTCGCGGTTGCCTGCAGCTCGTGTGATTCCGCGCTGGCGTATCTGCTCGAGTGTTTCTGGAGACAAACTTCTCTTGGTGACTTTTGAACTTTCAGCTTTCATAGCGCTAACTTGGAGATATTGAATGAGCCGATCGTATTCTTGATCAATGTTATCGACAGCGGCTTCGTCCCAACAGCCGACTAATGAATTGAGTAAGTCCCAGTTTCCGGTGGTTCTGGGACTTCGGTTTTGGATTTTAGCGGCATTTTCTCCTTTCCGCGAAAAATAGAATCTTGCACAAGGGAGAGGATGGTCTGATGTGTGTACAATCTGTACAATTACGATTTTGTACAATTACGTGTACAATTTTAGGACAATAGCGACATCGACAAAACCTTCTATTTACTATAATGTGGTCTATTTCGCTATGGTACTCTCCATTGGCAGACTCGTACGCCCAGCGTTGAGGGTGGGACTTCTGGAATTGCGAGTTGCCATGGATTATCTTCATCGCCATGATAAACTCAGATAGCTCCTTACCCTGCTCGTTTCATTTTAATTCGTGGGTTCCAATGTGACGTTCTTCAGACGCTCTTCTTGGTCCAGTCTTGGCGTTGAAATCTCCAATGATGACCTTAAAGAATGTGTGGTCTTCTCTGTAGAACTTCTCCAAATCCATATAGACCGCTTCGACTTCTTCTTCGTCAGAGTTTGATGTTGGCGCGTAAACGACGAAGATTGCCAAAGCCAAGCCGGTATTAATCCACGTTTTTTTAATCGTAAACGTCCGATTCCGGTTGTAAGCTGTTCGAATGAATCGATATTCATGGACAAACTCCTGTTGACGAAAAGCCCGACGCCGCCAACTCCTCTATTGTCGCATGGTCCGAGGAACAGTTCTTCTCCGGTGTCATGGACGACGTTGAAAGACTGGCGTCTTCTCGTCTCGATCAGGCCGATGACGTCGTTCCTTATCCTTCTTGCTTGCATGAACAAGTCTTCTATCGAAAACTCGGATGCAAGTGTACGTGCATTGTTGGTACAGAACGTCACCATAGTTCTTTGAAATATGCAGCTTCCATTGGTCCTGTGGTTTTGGCAACCTCTCCGTCCTTCCCAACGCTGCGAAATTGGGAGCTCTTTCGGGGTCAAGAGAATAAGGTTCATTTTTTTTACTGTGTTTAGCATTTTTGACACCTACGTATAGCTTGCCGGGCTCTGAACGTGCGGACTGGGTATATTCACGGGCAGGCTTTTAGCCGAATTGGCTCGTAGAATACAATCCGCATAAGCAAGAACGCACCCACACACGCATGCATGAATAGGCCTAGTAAATACGGAAAGTATGTGCCAAATCAGCGCAACAAAAGCAGGGTGTCCATCCCATGGATCCACCTGCGTCTCAGGAAAGCAGGGGTCCCTTTGGTCCGCGATCAACCCCCTATCCGCCACCTGGAGACGCCCCACGTTGCCTCGCCACTAACCGGCTTCAGATCACTCATGTGAAGGAGGTCCGTGGAATTTTCGAGGTGATAAGTTCAATGACGCCTAATAAAATAAATTAAAGTGATGTAATGAAGATTTGAGAAGGAGCGTAATTAGAGTGTTGTTGGCAGACGTGTGGTTTCGCATGTTGCCTTGATAAGATGGCAAGGCTTTTCTTAGTGATGAGTACATTCATTAAAAAATTGCGGTCTTCTTCCTTTCTAGAAAGTTTTTTCTCTCGTTGTCTAGTGCGAAAATGATGCTGTTGTGAAAATGAAGAGGCAGCGCAAGCGAATACTGAAGACGGTTTACAGGAAAGAATCGAAAGAAGACTCCTAGCGATTTCCACAAGAGGCAACTTCATTTCTTTTCAGCAGCGGGAACTCTTTACGAAAGGATGTTCAAATTCAGCGAAAGCATTCCTCATCTTTTAATTTTCACTGGAAAGCCAGTAGGAAAAAGTAAGCCGAACAAAAATGGAATTGAAACTGTAGAGTCCAGTAATTTGGGCACGCATCAAAAGAACTAAAAACGAAGTAGTAAAATGTCAGTGAAGGACTACCCTGATAACACTACTGAATTTCAATACCAACACGTAGCTCCAGGCCTTAGGCGCCCAAACGGGACGCCGAGAGTGTAAACCTGTTGCGTGACATCACGAATAAGTTCGATTTATTGTATAAAAGCATAAAGAAGAAAGCCTTGCTAATGTAGACAGGGAGAAATGTGTGATTAAAATCACTTGCGAAATAAGTAATACTTAAGAAAATACTAAGGAAAACCGTCTTCACGTATCATATGTATCATCCACTTTTCCCAGTCAGCTTGTTCACTCGCACTTGACATCCACAAAGCTGGTTGGGGTTGTTGGTTGCTCGGCTGCAGTTTCAGGACCTGAAACTTAACTCCAACTTTGAATACAGTTGCTTTACACGTGTAACGTATACGGTGACTCATCTTTTTTCTGCTCTTGGCTGCCAGTTACAGTTCGGTATGGCACTACTACGGCCATCTTGTGAATGAAACAGATCTTCACATTGTGACGATGCTAATCTGGTCAAATTCAAAAGTGTGGAAGGATAACGAAGTCGAGCAGACTTAATCAACTGCTTACGAAATGTGATCAATCAGTAGAGGTTGTGCCACCTATTCCGTATTTTTAGCGACGATTGTTTTCCTTTTTTAAAATGAAATATCCGTGGAAGGCATAACCCGAAGGAGTAGTCCCGCAGGATGGACTTTTTCCCTTCCTGGTATCGTGACCAAAAATTTCCGATTCTTCTGTCGTTTTCTTACGTCCTTCTTATTGCTGCATTGAAATGGCCCGTAACAATTTTATAAAAGACTTACTCATTGTGAATGAATTTTTCGAGATTTTCAATAAACCTACCAAGTTCCGCATCATCTGCAGCTAACCTCGGTTAGCAGCAGTTAATAATATCGATCTTCTGCTCACAAGGAAGTGCGAGAGGGTAACAAAGCAAAGGCGGTATTTCGTGACAATAAACAAGTCTAGTTTTTTTAATCTTTCAGCGATGAAACTCTCTAACTCATGGAGACATCGAATCTTCTTGAATAGAGAACCGCTCCAAACATGTTCTTGATGAACTATGTTCTTCTTTGATATTCAACCGTGTTCTCATCTTGAATACATAGATAGACGCTTTAGGGCGTTCTCAGATTTCTACCTGATCCAGTCACCGGTTTCTATCCATGAATGAGGACTGCCACAACGATCGCCGTATACCCACTATCAGATACAGAGCTACATCCATCCGTTGTAAAATCGAAGCTACCGCCACTTGAGGAAAACTCTGCTTCCTCATGATTCTCAAGAGATAGAACTCCTCGGCGGAAAAAACGGAAAAGAACCACACCATTTGAATGCCACAAATTCATAACACTAAGACGAAATCTGCAATACGACATCTCAGTAATAGAACTGTAGAGGTAGTAATTTAACGTATTATTTACTGCCTATTCTTTTTAACGGCAGGGTATACATTGTGAAATGTAACTTCAATGATGCTGAGATATTTGCAAAACTCCGGACCGCAGGTGTATCCAGTGGGGAACGAACACGCGCTGTTGTCCTTTCCGGGGAGTAACGCGTTCACCACCACACCATGCTGGTCCTTCGTGATCGATAGAAATAGCTGAAAGACAGGCGAAACGAAGGACCCGCATGGTGTGGTGGTGAACGCGTTACTCCTCGGAAAGGACAATAGCGCGTTCGTTCCCCACCATAGACACCTGTGGTCCAGAGTTTTGCAAATATCTCAGCAACGTTGTGGTTGTATTTCGCTTAGTAACCTGCCATGAAAATTATAGAAGGCAGAAAACAAAACCTTAGACATTATCTGAGCATCATTGAAGTTATATTTCACAATGTATACCCTGCCGTTAAAAAGAATAGGCGGTAAATAATGCGTTAAATTGTGATTATAACTGCGGCCTAAGCTTAACTGGGCTCGTTGCCGATTTGGGCCCCCAGATCAATCCCGTTGACGGGTGTTTGCTGATGGCAAAAGATCGATAGAACTAGCCGAGAGACAGGCAAAACGAAGGGCAAGGATGGTGTGGTGGTGAACTGCGCTGCTCCTCGGTAAGGACAACAGCGCGTGTTCGTTCCCCACCGCATATACCTGCGGTCCGGTGTTTTGAAAATATCTCAGCATCATTGAAGTTATATTTCACAATGTAGAAGTAGTATTAAATACTTGATTGAAATTTCTTATGCACTGGAACACCCCAACGTTGAGGTTGGAATTTTTAACCTTTTAACCAATGTTTATAAGTCGGACGAGAATGAAGAGAATGTTCTCCACGATGTGTTTCCTTATGTTTCCTATGATAAGTGCGTATTGTTCTTGTATAGTTATTGTATTGCATTTATTTCGATTTCCTAAATTATAAAATTAACTATCGGCAGAAGTTCTCCTTTATCGCAATGTATCGATTTAGTAAAATACTTGCAATTTGCCATCTTCCACTGGAATGGCAACACTTGAAAAATCTCTATGGTAATTCCGTAATCTTTCCTTCTTGATTATTACACTTTATATGGAATTCTTCCACCTCAGCGAGGTGTAGCGTCGAAATTACCGTATGCGCCACCTCAACCGATACCGTATATATACGCCACGGATCTTCCTCATATGAGGGATTTCGAGCCGGTTAGTCGCGAGGCTACGTGGCGTGTCTCCAGGTGGCGGATAGGGGTTAATCGCGAACCAAAAGCGACCTTTGCTTCCCTGAGGCGTAAATGGATCCAGGGGATGGACTCCCTGCTTTTGTTGCGCTGATTTGGCACATACTTTCTGTATTTACTAGGCGTATTCGTGCATGCGTGTGTGGGTGCGTTCTTGCTTATGCGGATCGTATTCTACGAGTCAATTCGGCCAAATGCCTGCAAACAAGTGATTGGGAAGTATATGGAAGGCGGTTAGGAGTCGCCTGCAACAAATAAGCTCCATGTCCACTCTGGGAGAGCCTGGCAAATTACTCGTGAGTGTATCCAGCCCCCACGTTCAGAGCCCAGCAAGCTATACGTGGGTACCAAAAATGCTAAACACATTTTAAAAAAAAGCGGGCCTCATTCCCCCAACCTCGAAATAGCCTCCAATTTGGCAGCGTTGGGTAGGACGAGCACGGAGAGGCTGCCAAAATCTCAAGACCAATGGAAGCTGCCTGGATTCCAAAGAACTATGGTGACGATCTGTACCTGCAATGCACGTACACTTGCATTCGAGTCCTCGATAGAAACTTGCTCATGCAAGCCAGAAGGATAAGGCACGACGTCATCGGCCTGGTCGAGACGAGAAGACGCCAGCCTTTCAACGCCGTCTATGACACTGATAAAGAACTGTCTCTCAGAACATGCGACCATAGAGGAGTCGGAGGCGTTGGCGTTCCCATCAACGCAAGTTTGTCAATGAACATTTCTTCATTCGAACAACTAACAACTCGAATCGGAATTTTACGATTGATTAGATATGAATCTATACCGGCTTTGACAGTTTTCGTCGTCTCTGCACTAATTTCAAGCCATGAAGGATACAATATCGGAGCATTCTATGTAGATTTGGAAAAATTCTACAGTGAAGGCCAAGCATTCCTTAAGGTATTGGGAATTTTAACGCTAAGAATGAACCCAGAACAGAGTCTGAAGGACGTCGTGACATTGGGACCCACAGGTTTGAATGAAAAGAGCACGGTGAGCGGGTGAGCGGTTTTCTGAGTTTATCATGACGACCAAGACCATTAATGGTGACTCTCAATTCCAGAAACTCCGCTCTAAACACTGAACATGAGAGATTACCATTTTAGAGTGTTATAACGAAATAGACCACATCATAATAAATCGGAGGTTTTGCTTAACCGAGGTCTTTGTTGTCTCAAAATTCTAAGCAGTAGCAGACCATCGCCTCATTCGCGGAAGTGTTCAATTTTCGCGGAAAGGAGGCAAGCCGCTAAAATAAGAAGGCGAAGTCCTAAAACCGTCATAAACAGGAACACATTCAGGTCATTGTCTGTTCAGATGTCTTTCTCGATCACATCAACGAGGAATA